TCTTCTCCCTCGAGAAAGGAAAATAAGGAAAAGGGAGAGAAGAGGAAGAAGGAAGAAGGAAGAAGAAGAAGAAAAAGAAGGAGAGGAAAAAGGAAATAAGAAGAGGAAGAAAGGAGAATAAGAGGAGAGGAAGAAGAGGAGAAATAAATAAGAAGAGGAAAAAAGAAGAAAAAGAAGAGGAGAAGAAGAAAGTAAGAGAGGAGAAGAAGAAAAAATAGAAAAAAAAATCCTAAGTGTTGTATATGGGTGTCTGGGCGGCGGGCTGCGTCGGGGCAGCGGACGGTGTCGATCTAGGAACCCTGGCGGCGTCGATGAGCTCGGCATCGTCGGGCGGGCCGGGGGCAACTGGCGATGTGTTCATCAAATTTTCCTAAGTTCTGTATATATAGCAAGAGCATTGGTCCCGGTTCGTGAAACCAACCGGGACTAATGCCCCCTTTAGTCCCGGTTGGTGCCCCCTTTCTCGAGCTTGGAGAGGAGAAAGCTTAAGTAGTGTGGCTCGGGCATTCCATCAAACACCTCGTGTGCATAGGAGGTGAGCTAGAGCACCACAAAGCTCTCTCCTCGCCGGCCAGGAAAAACAGAGCAGTGGGAGTGCTCTGCTCGCGGGCGAGGGGTATATATAGGCAATTAATTGGTCCCGGTTCGTGGCACGAACCGGGACTAAAGGGCGGCCTATGGTCCCGGTTCAAGCCACCAACCGGGACCAATGGTGGTGGGCCAGGAGCGAGGCCCATTGGTCCCGGTTCGTCCCACCAACCGGGACCAAAAGGTCCAGATGAACCGGGACAAATGGCCCACGTGGCCCGGCCGGCCCCCGGGGCTCACGAACCGGGTCCAATGCCCCCATGGGTCCCGGTTTTGGATTAAACCGGGACTAATGGGCTGACCTGGCCTGGACCATTGCCCCCTTTTCTACTAGTGTGGCAAGGAGGAAAGAAAAGGAGAATTCAGCGACAAGAGCGACGGCTTTGGCTGCAGATGCGGAGGGGTGAGGCGGCTCGGCGGGGTGGAAGACTCGGTGAAAGTCGATTAAGCCGAGGAGTGGCGGGGCGTGGATCTTGCGGTACTGCCGGAGGAAGGAGTGGTCGGTGATGAGGCGGCGGAAGGAGATGCAGGCGGCGGAGGCGCGGACGAGGTCGGCTGTGAAGGGCAGCCGGAGCAAGACGTCGAGCAGGAGCTCGTCAAGGATCGGCGGCGAGGCCATTTCCCAGGGGGCATGCTGCGGCGGCACCAGAAGAGGAGGGGACTGGGTCCGGTGCTCGAGGATGGCCGGGGCCACGCGGATCTGGCGGTCGTCCGCCGTGCCGCTGGCCATGCCGCCGCCGGTGGTGAGAGCTCAGTTGGGAAACCCTAGCGCTACAATGGGTTGGGATGTGAGGACGGGAGCAAGGAGTGTGACGATTTGGGGGAAGAAGATGAGGGCCCTTGTTGCTGCAATTCGTACATTTTGAAGGGATATCTTGCAAATGTAACGAAAGGAAGTCTCCTTACAACGCATGAGATCCCATCCTGTCCGTTGGTTACGCATCCCGCAGCCACACTTCTTCAAGGTGGCTCGGTTATGTTCTTCAAGCGAGTTGACCCAAGTTCCCCTCCACGATTAGCTGAAGGCGCTCCAAATTTGACAGCGAAAGCCTACATCCGCCTTGCTCAGGTCTGCGTCCTCCATCCGCCTTGCTTAGGTCTGTGTTCGCCTCCATCTCTTGAATTCTCCCGTGTACGCGTGTGCATTTTTCTTGGCAATAGATTAGCTGCTTCAGGAATTGATTAGTACTAGAAGCCACAAACTCCACGTGGTCTTATCCAAGGTTAGATTCTCGTTAGGTTAGCTGGCTTTTGGAATAGATTGGTACGGCAAAGGTGATATTCAACTATAGTATAATGCCACTTTGTGGCGTTAGGGTTGGGGAGGACACTGTTGTTGGCAGGCACCTAGCTCTTGATTTTTATTTGGGAAAAACTTATCATCACCCGGCGGATCACAGCGGCAGCGTCCGCCACCTCCAATGCATGACACGTGTTCAGTGAGGGCTTGTATACCGTCCTAATCGAACACGCTTTTGCAACAGAGGCTATGTTTCTGAAACATATGTGATGTTGCAGTAGTTTACGACAGGTATATGTTCTACAACAAAACATCGGTCGTGAAAATTTTCTGCAACCAAACCTCAGTTGCAAAAAAAAATTGCAACAAGATAGTTGAAAAAAAAATTGCAACAAAACATCTGCTGTAAAAAAATTCTGAAACAAGACCTATGTTTCAGAAATAATTCTGCAACAAGGCAGGCGTTGCGGTAGTGAAAGCGCGCTCAGCTCAGCTTGATGCGGCAAATCGGACGGCTCGCGACCCGGCTGATCTTTTTAAAAGATCAGCCGGCGGACGCGTAGCACGCCCCTTTTTATTTCGGGTGAGACTGCAATTGAGTACTAGCTTATAGAAGTGCATGACAGAATTGATTTCATTGGCACATGTATGATGCATCTGCAGCTGAATCCTTAATTTGGTCTGAACTGAACCATGCGTACAGAGCTATCTACTTAGCATGCATCTGAACTGATTCATTAGTAGTGCATATGTATTTTTCTTAACGAACAGAGCCTCCTCTGATTTTGTCTTGTGCCTGCATCTTGTCTACGAGAGTCCTAGACTGTGTATGTACTAACGACGCTGTGTTGTGTGAGTTATTAATATTGGATCTTCTTTGATTTATTTATAGATGGACGACAGTGCGCGTATTAACAGAAAAAATGTGTTCTTCAGTGCTTTTGCATATTGTTCACGTATCGTGTATCTAAGCAACTCTAGTCACCCTACAAGATACTCATTGTTAGAGAGAAATAAAGAAAGAATAGCATATCTACGTAAACTGTATTGCGGCGAGGAGAAATACTGCATTGGCGAATTGCGCATGGGAAAATCAGTTTTCTTCAAACTGTGCGATAAATTACTGAGTATACTGTAGAGGAGCAAGTCGCCATGTTCCCCATTAAAATAGGGTATCATAAGAAAAATATCGACATTAGTTTCCATTACACAAGGTCAGGTGAGACACTGGGTCGTTACTTCAACAGAGTTTTATTTGCAATTGGGAAACTTGGATCAGAAATTCTTAGGAATCGAACGCACAATACACCATAGAAAATTCAAGGCAACCCACGATTTGATCCCTATTTTAAGGTATAGTACAATATCCATCTAGTTACCCATAATTTTTGTAATAACTTCATAGTGCAGTAGGTGTATTACTAATTAATTGTTACTTGGATTTTTAGGACTGTATTGGTGCTACTGATGATACACATGTTCCATGTAACGTCCCATCTCGGATAGTCGACAGATTTTGTGGCAGCAAATCATTCCCAACCCAAAATGTTCTTGCCACGGTCGACTTTGATTTGTTGTTTACTTATGTTTGTGCGGGCTGGGAGGGTTCGGCACATGATTCAACTGTTTTAAGACATTCTCCTGAGAATCCAAATGGCCTTAGAGTCCCTGAAGGTACGCCCCTGCATTTTTTTTACATATGAACATATAACATATAGAGTAAATGAGTGATTAATTTTTCATAATGTCATGTTAGGTAAATATTATCTTGTGGATGCGGGTTATGCAGCTAGGACAGGATTCCTACCACTGTTCCATCAAACTCGATATCATCTGCGTGAATGGAGGGGTGATAATAGACCTCACACCCCGAATGAGCCATTCAACTTAAGGAACTCATCCCTTTGTACTACCGTTGAAAGGGCATTTGGAACTTTAAAGAACCGTTTCAAAGTTCTGACAACTAGGCCTTATTATACCTTTCCTTCACAAGTACAAGTCATCATAGCATGGTGTATCACAACTGGACATTACTAAACAGGGGTCCTGATGAACTGGTCTACAGTGAGCAGAACTGGTTTGAACAATGTCCAAGATCAGCTGGCCATGTCCAAAGGGATTTACGTGAGGGACATAAGGAGGTGCTTAGATATAGGGATACCATGGCAGCAAATATGTGGAGAAATAGGCATAATGTTAGACGCGGTTGATTTTTTTTTCAAGCATTCTGCATGAATTTGTTGATTCTAAGTTGTATTACCACTTAGATGAACGACTTGTGTGTCTTCTTTCTTGAATTTGTAACCATGATTTCTTTCCCTTGTACGAGTGCAATGCGAGATATGCATCTCAGAGGTGTTATTCTGTCTACAAATTATAAAATTTGAATGATGCCACACGGATATGGCAGGTAACAGTGTGGCGTGGCAGCCCCAAGTTGTAGATGAAATGCTACGTTACTACAAAGAGAAGATTCAGTCTGAGGGAAAACAAGTTGTCTTCAAAGAGATGCACCATGAGGAGTTTGGAAAACAAATCAATGCAAAGTTTACCACTACCTTCACAAACTACAAGAAACAACTAGTTTACCGTCTGGCGATTACAGACGGCAAAGAGTGAAATACAGACGTCAAAGATTTTGGCATCAACTAGTTGACAGCAAAGAGAGACGGCGAAGTCAAAGCGGAAAAGAGATACTTTGCCGTGAGCTTCTCATCGGGCTGACTTCGCTGTCAGGTTTTTTCCCGCGACAGAAAGCAAAGTAGGGTTTAGGGTTTTCTTTGAGCTGGTGGGCCCCCACATTGCTTTGCCGTCAGCCCAATATTAAACATGCGGCAAAGTGTTTTTTATTAAGTAAAAAAAACGCCTGTATGTGGTTGTCGGCAATCGCAACCAAGATCTCGCCAGAGCTGCCTTGCTGGATCGGCCCGCCCATCCCTACATCCACGCATGCAGTCGTCGTTCCCCTCGTCTTCGCAAAGCTTGGCCTCCAAAAAGGTTATCAACATCGTTATCTTCTCCGTCTCTGGCACCGGCTGCCGCCGCAACTCAAGGAGTACAGAACGCGAGGGAAGAATGAGAGGTCGCGGGGAGACCAGTAGTGGCTAGCCCACGGCAGGGACTCACCAGCGTCGGTCTCACCAGCGTGGCGGGGTGGCCGGCCGTGAGCACGGCGAGACGTCAGGGTTGTGGCCACACGTGATGAGCCGGTGGTGGTCGTGGCGGGGTGGCCGGCGGTGGCGGTAGTGGCAGGGTGGTCGACAGTGGTGCAAGCGTGGCGGGGTTCTCGGCGGCGGTCATGAGCTTGGCTGGGCAGCAAGGTTTGTTGCCGCAGGTGATGCGGCCGCAGAGACGGGGCGGGGTGTCCGGCGGCGGCGGTGGCCAGCGTGGAGGGTTGGACGGCAGCGAGCGGCGCGGGGTGGCTAGATTCCGTAGGGGAGAGAGAGACGTATGAGGCAGAGAAAGGAAGGGGGAGGGGAGATCATGCGTGTCAGTGTGGGGTCATGGGGATAATGCAAAGAGAGAATGGTGGGATGGAGCGCTGATCATGGGGCTGATGGTTTGTGTGGAGGCAGGCAAAGAGAGAAAATTCTTCTTTGTCATCTGCTTTTTTATTTACATACGGCAAAGAGCTCACTTTGCCGTCTGTAAATAAAAATACAGACGGCAAGCGTCTGCCATTTATAGAGATCCGTCTGTAAATTAAAAAGGCCGACTGTTTTTACTTCTACAGACGGCAAAGTGAGCTCTTTATCGTCTGTATTTTTTTTGCATACGTCAAAGTCTATTTTGCCGTTTGCTGATGACCGCAAATCCTTTCTTTGCCGTCTGCCTCGATGAAATGCTGACAGCAAGGAAGGTACTGATGGAAAATCTCCTGTTTCCGTAGTGACACAAAGGCAAGTTTATCAGAAGTTCCACGAGCTGAAAGATCAGTGGAAGATCATATTGGAGGCGAAGAACTTAAGCGGTGCCAATTTTGATGATGTCAACAAGATAATATTATATGATGAGGCCGAAGTTGTTCGGATGAAGAGTGTGAGCACTACATTTGAATTTTGTCAAATTATATTTCCATCTAGTATTATGTTTTGTCTTTTATAACTAACATTTTCATGCTTCCTTCTCTCTTCCAGAACAAAGACAAAAGGGCAAAATATATCAGTGTGCCTATTGACAACTTCAATGAGATGGAGTTCATATTTCTGGATAAGCATGCTACCGGAGAGTTCAGGGTCCTTCAAACACCCTATGACCGTGTTCGTGACAAGGATTTTATTGGTGACATCGAGAAGAATGCGATTCATGTTGAGGTTGATCCTGCAACACAATATGATTCATATCATCTTCCCGATGGCACCAATAATGAAAGCTCATCTTCAAAGTGTCCTTGAGGTGGCAAACGCGATAAAGGTAAGAGGGTAAAGTGTGATGAGAGTGTAGTCCGAGACGTGACGCAGTCTCTGCGTGATATGTCGGACTATGTGTTTCATACATGTGACCAACCTGAATGAGATTTTATTCAAAGTAATTGCTGACATGGAAGAATACCCTCTCTTCGCCCGACTTGCACTAACAGGGAAAACCCTAGTAGTACCGCTTGAAATATGCATAGCAGTAGCGCTGGGCCCAGTGCTACTGCTATCACGCTACATCTAAACCCTAGTAGTAGCGCTGGTACGGGCAGCGCTACTGGTAAGTATTTTTAGCAGTAGCGCTTCCCTGCCCAGCGCTACTGATAACTATCTATAGCGCTTGTTCATAAGACACGCTGCTGCTAAGCCAACGCTACTGGTAAGTATTTTCCAGCGCTACTGCTAATATTTCTGCTTTCCCAGATTTGCACCTTCTATGTATTTGTGATGTATTTATACAGGCTCTATATGATAGTTTCATCACATCATACTAAACATACACTATTCTCACATATAATAGACATACAGTAGTCTCGTCATACCATCATCATCATCATCATTCAACACAAATATCATCACATCTCGAAAATAGAGATACACAAGTGCGATCATGTCATGTCTCGAATAAGTGCAACTGCATGGTCATAGCACACACACAAGTTTCATCATCTCTGTCTACACCATGATGTAGAAGAGAAGAGCGATCAGCATGAGCAAGAGCGCGACTATGTAGCACCGGCGGTCCCCCCTGCTCATGCATGAGTGTCCACCTCAAGTAAGTACTTTCCGCTTCGGCTCTGGTGTCGAACCATCTGAGGCTAGCACCCGGGTACCTGTGCACATGGGCCTGAGCGGCTGGCCAGTGTTCGTAGACTCCTGGAACCCTCTCAACATACACGGTGTAGTAGTCCTTCGCCATCTCTGATCTATGTATCTGCATCGTGATTTGATGATTTGAACGATAATATGCAACATAATGTACTTAAGAAAACAAAGAGGCATGATTAGCAAAATAAAAGCAACCAATAGTAAATATAAATGACGAAGTTCCTCAAACCCAAACTAATTAACTAGAGTGATCTATGCTAGTTCAGGACCACGGTTTAGTTAAATCACATAGTTTCGCCGTGCATAATTTCAAAGTTTTGCCATAGAAAGACAGTAGTGATAAGGCACGCTAGTTCAAGACCATAGTTTAGTTACATCACATTGTCATTGACAATCAGTCCTCCATGTCGGTGTTCCAATCTTTATAGTCAGGGAGGAAGCACCCGAGCTTCATGAAAGGCTTCAGGTCCAGACGCTGAGCGACTAGCAGTGCTCGGACATCAACCCGCGTGACATCCCCGTTGGTTCGAGGACTTTCTTCATGATCACTTGGGCAAGTTCACATTGTACATGATAAAATTTAGCTCAGATTCGATGATCCGGTGTCTTTCCTATGCTTGTGGCCTAGCTGACAATCTCGGCATCTTTGGTAGTAGTTGACATGCGAAGGCGTTGATTATCCCTTCTGTACTCCATCAGGTGATGCATGAGGTAGAATCCATCAGCCCTACTGTTTTGTGGTTGCTGGATGCAGCAGAAGTAGGTCTTATGGACGAAAACCAGCCCGGTCTTCCTGTGCCTTTTCACCTTGATATATCCACCAGACAGGTTGAAGGTTAATAGGGCACTATCGAGAACACTCTTTACGTGCGTGTAATCCTTTTTCTTGAGGTTCTTCGATGAGTCCAAGTACATAGCATGGGAGTATTCTCGGTACAGAACGATGAGGATGGTGCCGCCCCTGCTGCGAAAATTAAGTACACCTCATATTAGCCTCCATGCTTGCAAAGGAATGATTAACACGTACGAAAGGATATGTGCGGATGACTTACGAGGGATGATAAGGCAGGAGAATTGCTTCCTTGTCCTTATTAGCGATCATGAATTTGCCGAGGTACTTGCTCGCATAGTTAGGGTGCTCTTTGCAAACTGCCAAGAAGCTCTCGTGCATATAGTACGGGTCCGCGACGCAGATATATTTTATGCTCTCCATCCTGATGAATTAGTTGAGATACAGCGCATACACGCAGATGAACTGGAAATCTAGCTTGGTCATGTGGAACATGTTGTAGATGTAGTCAAATCACAGGATGAACTGATTCGTGGGCCAGGTATCGGCGTACAACTTCCCACCCGGCACCAGAGCCGCGTAAAGCGGGTATCCTGGATCTTTCGCGATCAAAAGGCTTTTCTCTCTGGCCAGCACATCTTCATGGAGTCCCTTTAGATCATTGTTCAGTATGTGATCTAGCACTTTGGCAGGCAGGATCGGCTCGCCGGCGACATGGAAAGGCGTCTTACCTTCGATAGGTATTCTGTCTACCACCCGGGGGTTCAGAGGCTGCTGGCTGCTTGAAGCACCTATAGCGCCTTTAGGGCCTTTCCTGGGCAGTCTCTTCCTTTGCTTCTTGGCGGGTGGCGGTAGTGAGCCCACCATACCTTCCCTAACCACCACCCCAGTGGCGTCGGTGTTGGGGAACGTAGTAATTTCAAAATTTTCCTACACACACACAAGATCTTGGTGACGCATAGCAACGAGATGGGAGAGTGTGTCCACGTACCCTCGTAGACCGAAAGCGGAAGCGTTAGATCAACGCGGTTGATGTAGTCGTACGTCTTCACGGCCCAACCGATCAAGCACCGAAACTATGGCACCTCTGAGTTCTAGCACACGTTCAGCTCGATGACGTCCCTCGAACTCCGATCCAGCCGAGTGTCGAGGGAGAGTTCCATCAGCACGACAGCGTGGTGACGATCTTGATGTTCTACCGTCGCAGGGCTTCGCCTAAGCACTGCTACAATATTATCGAGGAGGACTATGGTGGAGTGGGGCACCGCACATGGCTAAGAGATCAAGATATCAATTGTTGTGTCAAGGAGGAGGGCGCGCCAAGGGGGGGAGTCCTACTCCCACCGGGAGTAGGACTCATCCTTCCCATGTTGGAGTAGGAGAGAAGGAAAGAGGGGGGAGAGGAGGAAGGAAAAGGGGGCTGCACCCCTTGTCAAATTCGGACCAGAGGGGGGCTGCGCGCCTCCTTCCTTTCGGCCTCTCTCCTCTATTCCTGTATGGCCCAATAATGCCCATATACTCCTCAGCGAATTCCCGTAACTCTCCGGTACTCCGAAAAATACCCGAATCACTCGGAACCTTTCCGAAGTCCGAATATAGTCGTCCAATATATAGATCTTTACATCTCGACCATTTCGAGACTCCTCGTCATGTACCCGATCTCATCCGGGACTCTGAACTCCTTCGGTACATCAAAACACATAAACTCATAATATAACTGTCATCGAAACCTTAAGCGTGCGGATCCTACGGGTTCGAGAACTATGTAGACATGACCGAGACATGTTTCCGGTCAATAACCAATAGCGGAACCTGAATGCTCATATTGGCTCCTACATATTTTACGAAGATCTTTATCGGTCAAACCGCATAACAATATACGTTGTTCCCTTTGTCATCAGTATGTTACTTGCCCGAGATTTGATCATCGGTATCCAATACCTAGTTCAATCTCGTTATAGGCAAGTCTCTTTACTCGTTCCGTAATACATCATCTCGCAACTAACTCATTAGTCACATTGCTTGCAAGGCTTATAGTGATGTGCATTACCGAGAGGGCCCAGAGATACCTCTCCGACAATCGAAGTGACAAATCCTAATCTCGAAATACGCCAACTCAACAAGTACCTTCGGAGACACCTGTAGAGCATCTTTATAATCACCCAGTTATGTTGTGACGTTTGCTAGCACACAAAGTGTTCCTCCGGTAAACGGGAGTTGCATAATCTCATAGTCATCGGAACATGTATAAGTCATGAAGAAAGCAGTAGCAACATACTAAACGATCAAGTGCTAAGCTAACGGAATGGGTCAAGTCAATCACATCATTATCCTAATGATGTGATCCCGTTAATCAAATGACAACTCTTTTGTCCATGGCTAGGAAACATAACCATCTTTGATAAACGAGCTAGTCAAGTAGAGGCATACTAGTGACACTCAGTTTGTCTATGTATTCACACATGTATCATGTTTCCAGTTAATACAATTCTAGCATGAATAACAAACATTTATCATGATGTAAGGAAATAAATAATAACTTTATTATTGCCTCTAGGGCATACTTCCTTCAGTCGGGCTAAACAGTGGATGGGCATCGTGGGGTTGCTGGGTAGAGGCGGCATCTAGAGGCGTCTCCTGCGAGGATGGCTTAAAGAGAGACTTTTTGCAATCCGCCTTAGGACGTTCCGGCTCCGGCAAATCAGGCAGCATCAAGTCATCATCTCCACACTCATAGCCTGAGTCTTCGGCGTCCTGAGCCATCAATCCATCATAGGCGGTATTGAAATACTTGTTTGGGTCATCATCATCATCCTCCATGTCATCATCAGCATTTGCTTCTTCGACAGCGGGGCGACATGATCTGGCACTAATGGAAGCTCTCCCTCGCGTCGTACGCTACCATCATCCGCCACGACAGGTGCAGGTAATTTGGTAGGTGGGGTGATGTTCATACACTCTTGAGAAGGTGGCGTTGGTGTGATACTAGGCGCCTCGAGACGAAGAAACTACTTCGGCCAAGGCAAGAACCAGTTCTTGCATGCGCCAATCATCTTAGGGGTCTCGTTGTCGTCATCGACTGGTACCGGAGGAGGCAAATCCTCGAAGCCCGATAAGACACTGGCCACGTTAACCTTTAAGACGCCATCGGTCATCTGTCGATTGTGGAACATGCGTTACTTCGGCTTCACAATGATTGCCTTTCCCACAGCCACCTTCTGGCCCTTGATGTCGTAGAGTAGGGTGCACGGGGTGTCGTCGGCTTATGAAGGAGACATGTCTGCGACGTCAAACAATTGAAAGGCAACTGAAACGAAAGACTATAAACATGTTGGTGAAAAGGGTATGACGTGTAATTACC